TTATCCGGATGTTGGGGCGCTTGATGGTATCCAGTATTCCTCGTAGATTATCCTCATTTTTCATGGTTGTTTTCTCAATCTTCTTGATACTTTTTTCTAGGTCAGATGTTTTGTCTTCTACGTTAGAGATTCAATCTTCTGCCTGGTCACTTTTAATGCTTTCGAGGGAGGTTTTGGTTTCCTGTATCACATTCTTCAATCCTAGCAGTTCCATCTGGTTCTTATTTAATGTATCCATTTCTTCTTTCAAGTCATGAAAGGACTTCCTCATCTCCTGGGGCTCCTTGTCTCTTTTGTCTTCCATCTCAGTTAGTTTGGTCACTACAAATATTCTGAATTCCTTATCAGACATGTCCACGATGTCCATTGTACTTACTATGGGTGATGTAGGCTTGATGATTTCCCTTGAGGGAGAGGCCTTTTGTTGGTTGTTCATACTTCTTGAGCCTCTGCAATTGTTTCTAGTCATCAGGTAATCTATATGTTGTTTCCTAACTTATTTAAGGTATCTCTTAGTGTTAAAAGTTGTACAGGATTAGAAAATTGATGATTTCTCTTATGATTGGCCTACCTGTTGCTCACAATTACCATTAACTGTTGCCACTAGTCCTGGATGGCCCCAAATCCTCCCTCTTTCTAAGGAGTGGTGAGCCTTCAACTGACCTAATAAGCAACACCTCAAGAGCAAAGAAAAACAAAACAAAAAAAGGTAATCATGCAACGCGCAAAGCGACCCACGTGCTATTCAAATCACCAAAATTCAGAGAGTCAAAAGGCTAGTGGGAAAGGGCCAGAGGAGGAGTGACAGGACTAGGTTGGTTGGGCCTGAAACCTCAGTCTGCCTGGTGTCCGGTACTACTGGCCAGCTTGATCCAGTTTGCGGGTGGGCTGGGGTGGTAGCTCATCTTAAAGTCCCAGACAACTAACCTGGGGTCCAAGGAGGAGGAAGGGTGGGGATGCACAAAGGTCCGGAGGGGTTGGACCTGCAGCCTCAGTCCGCCTGGTGTCCAGAACTACTGGCCGGCTCAATCCGGTTTGCCCCTCACTTTTTTTTTTCAGGTCCTCCCTGTTAAGTTGCACCTCAGAGTGCAAACATTAAATTAATTGTAAGGCTTTTTTTTTTTTTTTGTCTGAGACATTAAAGACATGTGCTTCTGTACAATGTAGATTTTCAAAATGCAGGTGTTTCATAACAGCACAAAATGCAATTTAAAAAGACATGAAATTATCACCATAACACTTGGTAAAAACTAAAGAAAAAAAATAGTTAAAGCAAACCTGATGTATACTGGTATGAATGTGGGAGATGTAAACAAAGAGAGCAGGCAAATAACCACACAGGTCCTACTTCAAATGTTTGAAATGACTGAAGGAATAAATCATACAAGGTCTAAAGTGTTTGTAGTTCCTGGGACTTTAGTTCTGCATGATACTAAAAATATACAAGTATTGTGTTGGGTATTTTGGCACCTAATCTTCCTAAATTTCTGACATATTGATAAGATTCTGGCATGGGAATAGATTTAAAGACATAACTCAATACTGCATGATTTAAGGAAAAGTCAATTGCTACAAATAAGCACATTTTAAATGCTCAACAGCAAGAATCTTTTGTTAAGTGTCCAAATAGGTTGATTATAACCTTAAGATAGAGGTTGTAATTCTGTCAAACTTTGAAGCCTGGTAAAACTGCTTTTTCAATACTCCCATGGAAGCTTCATTAGACTTTTTCACCAAGCCAACACGTTGGCTAATATGTATGTCTCAACTTTCACTTCCAAGGGAATAGCATCAGGCCGCACAGTTTTATTGAACTCAACAGTTGTTTCTATGAACATCGGAGTCTTTGAAGCACAGCCGTATTTTAGGACGATACTTCTCCAAATATAAAAGTTGCTTGCTGTTAAAAGCTCCACACTGCAGGGACCAGCAGTTAGCGTAATGGCTATGTCGCTAGACTCCCACATAGTCGACTGCGGTTTGCGTCCCAGACCCAATGACTTAAAACTCACGCTGGGTGCATGTGCATGCGTGCCCAAGATCCCAAGAGGAGAACGGAGGAGAAGGGATTGCAGCATGGCCATCCCCCCTGGGGGGTGATTTCTCACTTTCTGTCTCTCTGTCTCTCTCTGTCTGGCAAGTGCACGCGCCTTATAGCAAAAACCTCTCCAAAGGAAAAAAAAGAAAAAAGTTCCACGCCGCTTTTGTCTTATGAATTGTACTACATCTTCATATTTCATTCCATCTTTAATTAATGCTAGGGCAACTAACACTGGAGCTCTCCCAAGGCCTGAAACACAATGAACAGCAATACAACAACCCTGTTCCTCATAGAACTTAATTTTTACAAGACTTAACCAGTCATCGACACTCTGGTTGGATGATGGTGCACCATCATCAAAAGTCCAATCGAGAACATGGATGTCTTCTTTCTCCACAAGTGTGTCATAAGTTGCTTCACATACTCTTACTATTGTAGTAATTCCATACTTCTTAAGTTCCTCTATAAATTTGTTTAATGTTGGATTGGTTCTATTGTGTGTAATAAGAAATATCATGTTCTTATATGTGACTTCTACTGGAGCTGGGCGGTTCATTCGAGCCATGTTAATTTAGTTAAAAAACACTCAATAGGGTTATGAGAGAATTTTAAAAACTGAATACAGAAATGATGCAAAGAAACTGAAATCTACTTCTATATACTCCTCTTGAAATTCTCAGTGCTTTGAATATGAAGTTGACAGTAATGAGAAATGAAATGAACCTCCTAACAAGAAGCAGCAATTCTTCAATCCAGTAATACTGAGACAATGGAAAGGAAGTGCACTGAGGTTTACCCCATCCAGGTCAGAACTCTTGTAAAATGCTCTGCAGATCTCAATTCAACTTCTGTGTCCAGGTTAAGCACGCTTAGGGGGGCTTCTTGGTGGAGTAGTAATCAATTTCTACAGTTCACTTGTCTGCATAGAGATCGTGCTGTGCCTGGCAGTAATCTCCACTGCCCTTCACAAACTCCATAAATGTGTGACCAAGAACACCACACAACTGAGGAATATGTTTACTCATTGAAGATTGTGGCCTAATCATACAGCTGGTCCCAAGGCGGCAGCGACACAGGTGGCGGTGGGGGTGG